GTTTTCGCGGCGCCGCCGCACCTTCCGGCTCTGCTCTCCTTGCCCGCCAGAGCCCGCCCCGGCCCAACCTTTGAAATAGGATTTTTCCGAGGGCAAGGTGAGTAGTAAGGAAACACCCGCCTCCCCTGTCCCACCATTGGTCCCCGAGAATCCGGGTCATGTCTCCCTCCTGTGTCCTATTGGCCGATAAGGGCAATAAAGCTAGAGCTCCCAGCCAACCGTTTTCGGCGCAGCCCGCAGGGCATGTCGGGAGTTGTGGTCCGTAGCTTTCCCCCCAGTCCGCGCGCACCCGCAACTTCTTGCCCTCTGCCCAGGCTCCTGAGTTTCGGTCCCACCCTCCTGGGAGCGGGTGGACTCTAGCCGGTCTCGCTTGGGGCTGGCCAACGTCTCCCCTGCGAGGGTTGAAAGACCCGCGAGGAGCCAAAGCAAGGAGAAAACTACGGTTTGGATTTTCCCAGAACCGGAGTTGAATTACTTCCTTGAGGCTCTTTAAGGGAGAAAATTTGGCTCGCTCCTGGAAACCAAGGTTTTTGGTGCCCACTCCCCGACCCTAAATTTCCACCTTTTCCCCAAGAAGCAAAAAATATGAGAACTAGAGAAAAATAAATGTCTGGAAAGCATCCGACATATTGCTAGAGAATTCATTGTTTCTTTGGGGCATCAGGAGGCTAAGCCAGGCGCAATCATAGATGCTTGAGCGGAACCTTGACGATAAAACCTCATTTCACAGGTGTACATGTATTCACATGAAAACATCCACTGTGTAAAGTCAAGAAATTGTGCGGACTGTTGGCTACCAGGCCTACAGAGCTGACCAATGACCCAGACACAAACCCACACCTGTCAGAACCCATGCTCTGCAACTAAAAAGCACCCTGGTTCCCTACCCTTTACTCTCCATGTCTCCCAAGGTGCACCTGACCAGGATATACCCATTTCTAATAGGATCCACTCACCACAGCGCCTACTCTACACCAGGCACTGCTATGCTTTTCATACACAGTATTATCTCATTTAATCCTCACTTTTGCCCGATGAGGCATGAACTAGTCCCCGTTATACAGCTGGGAAGAGCTTCAGAAACGTGACTTACTCAAGGTCACTTGCTTAGTATGTGACAAAGTCACGATTTGAGTCCAGTTGATGTTGCTCCAAAACCCATGGTTTTCCACTGTGCCACTCAGTATCAAATAATTGTTGGTCAAATTAGACACTGATTTTTTTAATAAGTTGCTCCTAATATTAGGGGGAAACCACAGCCAAATTATAGGTCTTATACATTATCTTGTTATATATTTTGGAAATATTTCTGTTGGACTGGGAAGTGATGTTTTTACATAGGCTTCAAGAAACAGTCACCTGGAGGAAGTGAATGTGAAGCACATGAAAGAAAATTTGTGCAGATTCAGAGCTGGAATTTATATTCAGATGTTACTTGGTTTATCTTGGCTCTGTCACAAAACAATCTGGCTGACAAACTTGGTCCTGGCTTGTAGATCACTCTTAAAACTTCAAGACCTGTATTCCTTTATTTACCCATTATCTCATCCTGAGTAGTACCACCCTAATTTTTCTTTTTGGAGACTTGCTTTCTTTTTATTTCTATTCATGTTTTCACAATTTCCCGCTCATCTTCATTCTTTTTTTTTAATGTATTTTATTGATTTTTTACAGAGAGGAAGGGAGAGGGATAGAGAGTTAGAAACATCGATCAGCTGCCTCCTGCACACCTCCTACTGGGGATGTGCCCGCAACCAAGGTACATGCCCTTGACCGGAATTGAACCTGGGACCTTTCAGTCCGCAGGCTGACGCTCTATCCACTGAGCCAAACCGGCTAGGGCTCATCTTCATTCTTCATTCTCTAGTTTAAAATTGGACAATCAGATAACTCTTTTCAATACACATTTCTTGGACTAACAATTCATTCAGGACACACATTTATTGAGCCCCTGTGTATCAAGCACTGTTCTAGGGGCTAGGATACAATACAGGGGGGTAGAGGGGAGATGACAACTCATCCCTGTTCTCCAAGAGCACACTTGGAGGGAATGACAGGAAATAAGCAAAATGAGTAACAATCCAAAGTATGTCTTAATGCTGGAATAAAATTTCTAGACCCATTTCTTTCACAATCAGTCCAGCCCATTCTCTGGATTGCTCTGATACCTCTCTAGAGCTTAAAGCTATTCCTCATTCAGTTGTTAATGGGCTTAATCCAGTCTTATAACTCCCTGAATCGCTTTCTTCACTTTTAAGTGGAGTCATAACTGCCAACTTTACAAGGTTATCAGGAGGATCAAATGAGATCTTGGTTTTCCACAAAGATTGAAATTATGCTTTATTAAAGTCAGTATAGAGGTCAGCTGTACTTAACCTAAACACTTATCCCAAATCTCCATTTCCTACTTTAACCATTTTCTAATTTTAGGTGAGCCCCAAGCCCAGGCTATATTTTTAGAGATTGACTATACATTCCTTTCACTCCGTGTATAACACTGTAGAATATTTTTGAGGACTTAAAACTAGAATCCAGAGCCCAGGAAATCCTGACAGTAGATCCACCAAGTTGCTAAAGAGCTTCAGTACCATTATAATTCATCTATCCAGTGGTCGGCAAACTGTGGTTCGCGAGTCACATGCGGCTCTCTGGCCCCTTGAGTGTGGCTCTTCCACAAAATACCACGTGCGGGCGCACATGTACAGTGCGATTGAACTTCGTGGCCCATGCGCAGAAGTCGGTATTTTGTGGAAGAGCCACACTCAAGGGGCCAGAGAGCCGCATGTGATTCGCGAGCACAGTTTGCCGACCACTGATCTATCCTATTCCATTCAGTTTATTCCATTTCTTCCGCCCGCCGGAATAGTACATTTAACAAGGGCGCCCTCTAGTGGGTCACAGAAAATAACTACTAAAGGCGCTTTTAGCCTTCTGTTATTTCTACTCTGCAGATACTGAATGAACAGCATAGGTTGGCAGCTTGAGAGATCATTGAGAAGGATAACTTCAACAAACTTACATATGGCCCTGGTTCAAACCAAACCAAACCAAACCAGGGACTCAGGTTCCCATCTTTTCTTATTCCCTTCTCTCAAGAGGCATATGGCCTGGCCTGTGTTCTCAAAAATTCTATAGGCTGTTGCAAATCTCAAAGTTGCAACAGCCTATAGAATATTCAGTTGTCTGCAAACTCCCCAAAACAACTGATACACTTGGAACAGAAAAAGAGTAAGATTTTTTTAAAAGCTATTGAGTATTATAAACGAGAAATATACCCTTTATGCCTGGCTGATGTGGCTCTGTGATTGAGTGT